GAATATAAGATTCAAGGAGAATGGAGGAGACCTAACATTTCTAGAGGGATTTCAATGTGCCAAGATCTGTGCTAAGTGCTTTATATATTTTATTAATTCCTAGGAAGACAGATTTCATGGTCTTTCTTTCATGAATTGAAGAAAGAAATGAGGCTCTGAGAGTTTATGTCAGTTTCCTAGGGTCACAAAGCTAGTATAAAGCAGAACCAAGGATCAAACTCAGGCCTTTCTGACTCCAAAGCCCACATTTAAGCCCATGTACTAGGATGACGGAGTCCCTGGGTAATGCAAACAGTTGATACACTTGACTGCTGACCTAAAGTTTAGAGGTTCAATCTATCCAGAGGTGCCTCAGAAGAAAGGTCTGGCTCTCTGCTTCTGATAAATGAGTCGTTGAAGACTCTATGGAGCACAGTTCTACTCTGATATACATGGGGTTACCCTGAGTCTGACTTGACTTGATTACAACTTGACTAGTACTAAGATGACTCCCTATGAATACAATTTGTTTTCTTTCACCAAGTCTTCTCCTAGAAGGCCTTCAGCAAAAACAAATCTAAGAATGGACAAAAATAATCAGTTTCCATTAGGAACTGCAGGATTGTGATTGTCAAATAGAATATCAAATCAATGGAGCAATCACAGCCCAGTCCTCTTGAGTTCATTAAATAAGTTGTTGATGTGAAGCAATTTAAATAATAGCTACAATAATATCAATGGAGGAATAGATATAATTCTAAAGGAAATCACAAAGTCTTGGATAATTGCACTCCTGTAATTAATATGGAGTGAGTTCAGAATAGAAAAGAACCATTTTGGACTTGGAGGGGTCTGTTAGCAGAGAGTTTGAACTGGTTGAGTCTTAAAATGTAATTGGAACCTGGACAGAGGGAGAGCTTGGGGAAGATGGGTGATAGGTTGAAATTGGGAGCTCTGGTGGTGTAGTGCCTAAGGCGTTTGACTTCTAATCAGAAGGCTGGAGGTTTAAACGTACCAACCACTCCTCAGAAGGAAGATTGGGCAGTCTACTTCCTTAGAGATACCACCTCAGAAACCCAAGGAGGGGTCATTATGAGTGGGATCCGGCTCACAGCAGTGAGTTTGGTTTTTGGTTTGAAGTTGAAATAGAAGAGTATATAGACATGCATGAAACCTATGAGAAGCATGACTGAGGCAGACACAGACCATCCCAATTAGTGCTTTATCCATCTCTTCAGAGAAGTTCCTCTTCATGCTCCATACTACCTTTCTTTCTTTCCCAAATTCTGTTTTGTTGTTGTTGAGAATATACACAGCAAACATACACCAATTCAATGGTTTCTACATGTACAATTTAGTGACATGGATTATACTTTTCAAATTGTGAAACCGTTCTCATCCATCTCATTTTGGTCACTCCTCCCTCATTAACAGAAACTCATTGCTCCCTCAGATTCCTCCTGTCTAATCTTTTGAGTTGTTTTTGTTGATTTGATCCCATACAGATAGTTCTTAAAAGAGCATAGTGGTCAAGACAGATTTCTTTTTTTTTTTTTACTAGTTATTCTAAACTATAGTTTTAAGAAGACTTCAGGGGATACTTTTGGTTTAAGGTTTAAAAATTATATCAGGACAATAGTTTCAGGTGTTCATCCACTCTGGTTGCAGAAGTCTAGAGTCCATGAAAATTTGAAATTCTTTTCTGCATTTTCCCTCTTTTGATCAGAATTCTTCTATGGAATCTTTGATCAAAATGTTCAGTAATGGCAGCCAGGCACCATTTAGTTCTTCTGCTCTCATGGCAAAGGAGGCAGCTACTCATGGAGGCAATTAGCCATTCATTCCATATCTTCCTTCTATTCTTGACTGTCCTTCTTTCTCTAATGCGCCAGGTGAATAGAGACCAATTACTGTGGCTTGGAAGGGCAGTTGCAAGCTTTCGAGATCTAAGGCATTTCTTATTGGCTCTGCTTCTTACTTGAAAATCAAAAAAACATGTGACCCTATCTGTACCTCTATGTTTTCCCTCATTTAATTTAAGGCACAGTAATTATTTGACAGAGGCAAAAGAAAAATGGGGAAAATTGAATAAAGTTAAATACAATTTTAAGGCACCATTTCCTATATTGTAACAGAATCTGTAGATGACTAGACTGATACGTAGAAGGAAAAAGAAAAAGTTGTACAGCAAATAAATTAGGGTTGGGCTATGGAAAGTCAAACTGATTCCTTTACTGTGATACTTCTCAGAGCCTTTATTATTTCAGTAACATTGTGAATCTCTCCTATGGAAATATCTCCACTTAACAGTTTTTCTGCCCTTGGAAAACAGTTGGAATTAATGAATTGTGATTACTGGTGATTATTCTTAAGTCAGTTATGTTAAAGGTCTGTAGGCCTAATAGCAAACTACTGAGAGAAGAGTTGTTGTTGTTGTTATGTGCCGTTGAGTCAGACCCAACTTACAGTGAACCCTCCTTGGGTTTCTGAGAGAAGAGTAGGTAATGTCAAAAAAAAAAAATCATTTGCAAAAGCCTTTGGGAAGCTGCTGGTTTGTGCCTATGTTTCTCTTAGAAAATAGACAACAGCTTTACCCTTCATGTAATATAGGTGGTAAAAGTGCTCTGCTTGGACCTCTCCTTTAACTCTATATTAAAGGAGTTAAAAGAATTATGTAGGGTGTCACTGAAGGCCACCAGGTCCTACACTATGGAGTATTAATAAGAAGCCTTAGAATTGTTTCTCTCTTTGAATCAGTATCCCTTTGTACCCAGGCTGCCTACCTTTGAGTTTTAGGAAAACCTCTTTTTTTCTGCCCTAGAACCAAATACTTACTTACTCTATCTCCTCCATCTAGAGTGTAAACACAATAGAGACAAGGACTTTTTTTTTTTTTTTTTTTCCTGTTTTGTTATCTATTGCATTCCCAATACCTGAACAGTTCTTGGTACTTAATAAGTGTTCAATAAATATTAATTGAATAAAAGCCATATATCTTCCAATCTCATAGCTCTTGGACTTGTCCCTTTGCTTTGAATGTTTTTGTCTAGTTATCCCCGTGGCTCTCTCCTATACGTCCATTCAGCCTTTGCTCAAATATCCCTTCCTTGGAGATGCCTTCCCATCTAAAGAACCAATCTCCATCCCTCTCTCTTTCCTTACCTAGCTTTCATTGTCTTTATAGCATTTATCCTTAGCAGATGTTTTATTATTTATTTATCTATGTTTATAGCTTTTCTACCATTACCAGTGCCTAGAAGAGTGCCTAAAACAGAGCAAGGACTCAATAAATACTTGTTAAAAGGATGAAGGTAGACTGAAACTGCTGTATGCCTAAACTTCTTGTAATTTGTGGCACATTTGCATTATCTCAGAAGCTTGCATATAATGAATGCTCAGAAAAGCTAGATTCTAGAAGTGTGTGTGTATGTGTGTGTGGTGTGTGTGTGTGTGAGTGAAAGAAAGTTAGAAACAACTGTCCCTGAACTTTACTGACCAGGAGTAGAGTCTCATAGTGATATACTTGCCATTCATCTTAGATACATAGACAAGTGAGGACTGAGGATAGGTAGAGGAGAAAGGAGGTGGGAATAGAGGAAGAGAGAGAGGGAAAAGGATCAAAGTGCAAAGAACACAAGTGCATGGGACTTGGGACAAGACCTTTGAACATGGATGGGGATACCAAGCCCCTTGACTGCCTTTGTCAAGATGTATTCTTACCTGAGTCTTTCAAATTTTTTTCTGTATTTAATGAAATAAAGGGGAAATACTGTTTAATAATAACAACCAGTCACATCTCCACCCCAAAGTGTTTCTTCTGGATTCCCCTGAAAGTCCAACATACAACGTAGTACAAATGAAAAACTGCCCAAAGGTCAATAGACCTGGATTTGAGCCCCAGTGCTGCCACATAATAGTGTTAAATCTTGAGCTTAATTTTCTAATTATCCAATCATTGATCAAAGCAACAAGCCATCCATCCATCCACTGAGTTCATTCCATACAAGATTTAAGGAACTGAAAGTGTCTGAATAAGTTAATTAAACTCTTTCAGTTTCACTGGTGGTGCAGTGGTTAAAGCATTCAGCTGCTAGCCTAAAGATTGGTGGTTTGAACCCACCAGCCACTCTGTGAGAGAAAGATAAGGCAATCTTGCTTCTGTAAAGATTTACAGCCTTGAATACCTTATGGGGCAGTTCTACTCTGTCCTACGGTATCTCTTTGAGTCAGCATTATTTGATGGCAGTGGGTTTGGTTTCTTGATTTGGTGTGTGTTTGTGTGTGTGTGTAGCCGAATGCTTTAACCACTGCACCACCAGAGCTCCTAAGTGCATGTAATAGTATGTGTATATATGCATGTATTGTATACACATATACACTCTTTCATATTCTAATCAGGACTGTATGTATTTTATTTCCCAACCAGCATGTAGACATCTCAAGGACAAGGACTATACCTCACACACTGGCTCTTGTAGCCTGGAGTTGTGTACATAGTTCAATAAGACTTCTTTAGTTTGAGTTGACACATATTCAGATACTCACTGCCATTGAGTCGGATCCGACTCATAGGCACCCCTCCTTGTGTTTCCCAAGCCTTAGGCACTATACCACCATCTTTCTCTCCTCCTCTGAGGATTTGTTCAATTAATTCTAGGGTCTTGGGAGAACCAGCCACCAGCCACAGGATGTACTATCCAGGAAAGATTGGTGTGTGTATAGGGGGTTACTCTTCTCAAGGACCCACTGACATTTCAATTTCATGGGCTCAGTGAATTTGACCAGCTCTGCTGAAGCACAAGTAATGCTCTGACCCTCCCCCTTGTCCAGGCCAGGCCCTGGGGAGCTGCCAGTGAAGATAAACCAGAAAGCAGCAGCAAAAGTGGCTCTTCCCCAGAGCCCTCTAGTAGGACACAGCTTGCTGGGCCAGGACAAAGGTTATTCCCGTGGCACATCCAGATGGTAAGGCTCTCGACCTATTCCCATTGCCCCCTGTAAATGTCTTGTACCAGCTCTTTTACCTGCTGCAAAGGGGGGCATATGTAGGGCAGGTGTGTCTTTTCTCCTTGGCTTTTTCTGTTCCAGGTCAGTGTTATGAAGTGCTGGACTCATTTTGTTCTTTGGATGTCTCTCTTGGACATCATATCTTGTAATTAAATCTTCTGAAAACACACCTGCATGATTAGAGGAACAGAAGCAGAGACAAGGTCAGTGACCTTTATCTTAATATATGAGGATTGTGCCTACATATTTGTACATATACCTGAGAAGTAGTCTATATAATACAGCTTTTCAAATGTATTTAATAAAAGTTTCTTTATAATAAGAATTAACATGCAATGGGGCTACACTATGGAATATGTTCTTTGCAAAGGGGTTGACATACATGATTTCATTTCCATCTCAAGAAGCCCTGCAGAATTTAATATTACTACTACAACCACATATTGGAGAAAAACAAACCCAAATGAGGTTAAAAAATATGCCAGAGACAGGAATCTGGCCCATGTTTGCCCTTCTCAAGAGTCTTTTCAGTTAGGCAGGACTGTTTGCTGTTCTGCGGTCCATATAGTCCAGGCTCCCACACTGGTGCCTTAGTTAGCACTCTCCCCTTCGCCAATAATTCCTCTCACCTCTCTTCTGCACGTGAAGCTTTTTGTCACCATTTAAGCCATCTGTAAAAACAAGCTTCTCTATAAAACTTTCTACAATTGCCTATTCAGACAGAGCCCCCAGAGTCCTCACCCAAGGGCTTCCATGATGATGTACTTTTTACTACATGTTTCAGCTATTTTGGATGGTTCTGCTATTAAAAAAGAAAAATAATGGAGTCCTGGGTGATGAAAACAGTTAATGTGTTCAGCTATTAACCAAAGTTTGGGGGTTCATGTCCACATTGGGTGAAAGGCTTAGTAATTTACTTCCAAAGGATCAGCCATTGAAAACCCTATGGAGTATGTTTTTTCTCTGACACACATGGGATTACCATGAGTGGAGTCGACTTGATAGCAACTGTTGTTGTTGTTGTTTATTTCTTACAGAGATGAAAGCTCCTTCACAAGAAGATCTGTGTTTCATCTATTTTGTATTCCTCAGAGCGTATTAGACCCAAAACCCAAACTCACTGCCATTGAGCCGATTCCAACTCGTAGTGACCCCCATTGGGTTTCCAAGGCTGTAAAATTTTACAGAAGCATACAGCCTCATCTTTCTTATGCAGAGCAGCTGGTAGTTTCAAACTACCAACTCTCTGGTTAGTAGCCAAATGCCTTAACCACTACACCACCAGCGCTCCCTGGAGTGTATTAAAGAGATCATTAAATAATGACCAGGGAGGGAGAGAAGGAAAAAAATGAAATTTTTTGGAATCAGAGTGTCATATGTCACATCTAATGGTGTTAAAGATATGTTAATTTTTCACTAAATTGTTTTGCCTTTCTCCTGGCCACACAGGGAGGTTATTACCTGTCAGTCAGTGGAAGCCTAGTGGTTGTGTGCCATTCCTAGGTCTGGCCCACATAAACCTCCCTCCCAACCCCCACTCTACCTACTCCCACATCTGCTGGATGTTGACATTCATGGTGACTTTGGAAGCCATTCACTGATGGTGTTAGAACTTCCAACAGTCTGGATCCTTGAGTTACTGTTCAAGCAGTATCTGCTTCACCTAGTCCCAAATGTCACTACTGGTGAATGAGAAAGCCACTCCTCAGAAGGAATATGGGGCAATCTACTTCCGTAGTGATACTGCCTCGGAAACCCAAGGAGGGGTCTCTATGAGTCAGGTTCAACTTGACGGCACATAACAACAACAACAACAACTTGTTAAGCCAGGAGCTCTGGTAACATAGTGCCTAAGGCATTTGACTGCTGACCAGAAGGCTGGAGGTTCAAACCCACCAGCCACTCCTCAGAAGGAAAGTTGGGCAATCTAATTCTGTAGTGACACTGCCATGGTAACCCAAGGAGGGGTTGGTATGAGTTGGATCCAACTCAACAGCAGTGAGTTTGGTTTAGTTTTTTGGTTTATGTTAAAAGCCATCAAATTTTCAGAATTTATTTGTTATAGCTGCTGTCAATATTATAACTATTACAAAGGTGGTACTGCACAATTCTGAAACAAATAGCAAAATATTTGAGGAAAAGCCTGTAAGACCAATATGTGGCTTTTCTTTACAGATATGCAAACTGACCTCATTGCCCATTACCTGGTAAAAAAGGAGGAATATGCAGGGCTGGTGTATCCTTTCTTCTTGGTTTTTTTTGGTCAGACTCAACAGTCAGGGTGGTCTGGACATTTTTCCCCTTCCTTGGCTTCTTTTTGAGATCACAGTCTTTAATGAACCGGTCTGAAAGATCATCTGATTTGAACAAGATACAAAACAAAATAAATCAACATAAATAAGAATCTAGTCACAGACTGGTTGGTTTCCAATTATACCTGATGATAGTGGTAGAGGCCACTTGGTCTGAAAAAGAAAGTATGTATTTATTTTGGCCTCTTCTACTGAGGAATTTAGTAGTCTTGCATGAAACCCAAAACCCAAATCCATTACCATCAAGTCAATTCTGACTCATAGTGACCCTGCCGGACAGAGTAGAAATGCCCTATATGTTTCCTAAGGCTGTGATCTTTATGGAAGCAGACTGCCGCATCTTCCTCTTGTGGAATGGCTGGTGGCTTTGAATTGTCAACCTTTTGGTTAGCAGCTGAGTACTTAACCACTGCACCACCAGGGCTCCGCTAGCATGAATATATAAAATAAAATGGAAAACTAGAATTATGTTAAAGTACAATTAGAAGAACTCAAATGGATTGGGCCATCAAGGCAAAGAGAAAGTTTAAAAGATATTTAGTGAGAGTTTGAGTTAAATTTCTGATGTTTGTTGTTGTTGTTGTGTGCCATTGAGTCGGACCGGACTCATAGTGACCCCTCCTTGGGTTTCCGAGGCAGTATCACTATGGAAGTAGATTGCCCCATCTTCCTGATGAGAGAATACAAAATGTTCCTTCTCAATTTCCTTTCTTCAAGGCTTGTTCCCTTTGGAGAACCCAGAACCAGTTTGTAACCTTTTGCTCTCTTCAGTCATGTAAATTTCCCTAGGATTCTCAGTGAATTCCTCACTTGCCTTCAATCCTGTGGCCAGCCAAGTGCTTGGGATGTAGGCATTACCTTTTCACTGCCCCCTGGCTTTGCAACTCTCCTAACCAAGGTCCTAGGAGGAGCTCTGGTAGCATAGTGCCTAAGGCACTTGACTGCTAATCAGAAGGCTGGCGGTTCAAACCCACCAACCACTCCTCAGAAGGAAGATGGGGCAATCTACTTCTGTAGTGATGCTGCCTTGGAAACCCAAGGAGGGGTTGCTATCAACTTGATGCCACATAACAACAACAACCAAGGTCCTATTTATCTTTTTACTCATCTCTACTTTTCTTGTGCCTCTGCATTACCTTGCTAGAGTTTTTGAAGCCTGGATTCTACATCACATTCATTAGGGTCATTATAAGGAATTAATCTAATCTGATTACTCCTTGCTCATTGAAGTATTTTCTCTGCTCCATTTTATCCCTATCTGCTTTTGTTAATGTTCCTCTCCTTTGGATTTCTATACCATTGTTCCAGGACTTACTCATTGCTCTATAGTGGTTATCTAGACAGAGACTTCTGAAGTTTAAGGATCATATCATCTTTTTTTCTCTAAATTTTATTTATTTTGTTGTTGTTGAGAATATATACAGCAAAACATATACCAATTCAACAGTTTCTACTTGTACCATTTAGTGACATTGATTATATTTTTTGAATTATGCAACCATTCTTGTCCTTCTTTTCTCAGTTGTTCCTCCTTCATTAACATAAACTCATTGCCCCTTAAGGTTCCTGTGTAATCCTTTCAATTGCTATTGTCAATTTGATCCCATGTAGACATTTCTTAAAAGAGCACAGTGCTCAAGACAGACCCTTTTACTGGTTAAGCCAAACTATTATTATGTTTTAAGAAGATGTCAGGATATATCTTTTTGTTTAAGGATTAAAAATTATCCCAGGGCAATAGTTTCAAGGGTTCATCTAACCTTCATGGTTCCAGAAAGGCTAGAGTCCATGAGCTTTGAGATTCTGTTCTACATTTTCCCCCTTTTGGTTAAGATTGAAGAGATCTTTGATCAAAATGTTCAGTAATGGTAGCCAGGCACCAAGGATTATATATATTTTTTATAATTTTCTTCTTCTTTGCATCTCCCTTTAGTAAATACTCTATAAATGCATATTAAATGGATGAGTAAGTGGAGTTTCATCTGAGCTCAAATCCTGACTTGGGTACTAGCTATTTCTCTAAACTTGGGCCTTAATTTCTATGAATTTTAATATTCCATATTTTCTAAGTTGGGATAATATTAAATCACTGTGTGTGTGTGTAAGAGAGAGAGAGAGAGAAAGAGAGAGAAAAGAGAGTCACAGAGAAATCTCCACTCCACCCCCACCCCATCTTCATGAGTCTTTCCATACTAATTTCAGTCCTGGGTATTTTTTTTTTTTTTTTTATCATTTTCTGAATATCCACAGAATTTTTGCTCAAGTAGAATCTTAAAAAGATGATCCGATTATTATTTCTGCATATATCTTCTCTACTTTGTTTGATGACAGGTCTTGTCTTTTGCCTCCTTAGCAGCAATAAACAAATACTCGTTAAATATATTCATCAATGAATGGACTAAAATATGTTATGTGTGAGGAGCTATTCTGCTAGGACTCACAGCAATCACAAGACAATGAAGCTCTTTGTCTTATCTGGAAACTATAGCCTGAATACAGGTCTGGCTATAGCTATCTATAAATATGAATGAATATGGGGAAACAAAGAGATTAATTGTATCCTTCAGCCCACCTCATCTCTTCTTTACATTTCCCCCTCCCTCTTTCTCTCTTTTTCTTTTTTCCCTTTAGAAAGTATCCAGACATTTAAAAAACAAAAAATTTAAATCTTGATAATTAAATGATAAATCAGTGTCAAACACTTTCACCTGTGCATAAATTCATTTATTTATTCAAATGATGTTGATTAAGCTCTTACTGTATGTTAAGTTTTGTGCTAAGATCCAGGAATAAAAGGGCAAGAAATTCTCCTTGCTTTCCTTTTACATCTAACCTATTGGGCTTTACGTCTGGATGGTCCCTTGTATTAGAATACCCAACATACAGAAGGAACCTGTCATGTTTCTACTACATGTTTCTAGTAACCATAGCTCATTATGCTTGCATCATCAGAAGATCACTATACTTAACCAAAGAATCAAATGGCATTATTCTCCTCAGCCACATTTTAACAATAATAAGTATTTTCTTTCACCTCAAATAATTTTGATTCCATTCAATCATTTCAATTCCATGAACATTTGTTGAGATCCTACCATGTGTAAAACAGTGAATTATATGCTACTGAACTTATATGCACAAAAATAAAGGATGGTGAGAGGGGACTTTACTGAGTGTCACCTATATACTAGGTAATTTCACATATATTTTATACATGCTCCGGTAAGTGGATGGGCCAATATCTTTTCTGATTTGTTAGTGTCTGTGCTTTACCAACTGGTAAATATTTTAAATATTGACCCTGAACACAATATCTCATTTAGCTCACAATAAACCTACAAAGAAGGTATACTATTATCCTGCATTTGCAGATGAGGAGACTGAAGTTCAGAAGGCCAGTTCAGAGGGTGAAAGCTGTACTTCTGGCAGTCAATAGGATTAGGACCCAGTCGAGGCTCTAGGGACTATGCATCTTAATACCTGGCTAAGAAAATAATTAAAACATTTTGTTGCTGCATAGCACAGTTAATCCACCTGCCCCGTATTTTACACACCACAAATATTTATTGAATGAATATATGATTCTCAGAAAGCATGCTGCCCAGCATGGGTCCTCTGGAGGTACAGGCCTCACATAGACCTGTCATGGGTCACTATTTGATCCCAAGATCCTACTCAGAGAGCAAGACTTTTGTTTCAATTTTGACTTTTACTTCAATTGCACTTTTTCCTATTTTTTGAGAAATCCTGGAACATAAAATATCTTGATGGCAAATGGGGAGAGGGGAGAGGAGGAGGGAGTCATAACCAGACGAGGCATAAACAAAGGCTATGAATATGCAAAAGGCCCATCCATCAAAAGTCTGAGAGTCTCATTTTTAGAAATGGGTAGAGGCAGAAATGTTTCTGGTATTTTCATTACAAAGGTTATGCAAAAAGTCAGTTCTGGAAAGGAAACAGATTGGCAATAAAGCAGAAAAAGGCTATTTAAAATTCTGTCTTGATAGGCAAAGAGAGATATTTGAAATATTTTATTGGCACTGCACATGGGGTGTAAGTGTGCCGGGAAATACTGGAAACAAGCTCTACTGCCACATTCCATTTATTGCCTCGGAAATGCTCTGCCTGGGACTCTGTCAGACCCAAAAAAAGAGGACAATGCCTTTTCTCGCTCTTTTCAACCCTAATAAACTTCTCTCCATTAGCTGCTTCAGCTAATATTTACATGGCAGACCCCACAGACCCGTGGCTGTTTGCCTGTCCATCTGGTGCTCTCTGGCATCAGAAGGCCCCGCCTATCAGGTTTCAGAGGGCCTCCCCCTGACCTGCCTGCCAATATGCCCTTTCTGATGCCCACTGTTGACATTCATGTTGGAACATTTACCTATATGGCTGCAATGAGTGTCTAGCTTGTCCAGTCTGTCTTCTGAGAGCTCCAGGGGCTGCATTTGCTCAGTTGACATCATCAAAGGAGGACGAGCCTGCGTAAATCTTCTCCAACACTACCAAAGCAGGAAAGTCCATTAGTATGCCAGTTATTTACAAAATGAATATACTTATTGAACACTTACTATTATGCTCCTGTTTTTCAAGTCAGCTTCTGATGCTTAGCTATTTCAAACCCCAAAACCTATTGCCGTTGAGTACATTTCAATTCTATAGGACAGGATAGAATTGCCCTATAGGGTTTCTGTGGTAGTTCAGTTTGTATGTCAACTTGGCTGGGCCTGGTTGAGTGGCTGGGCAGCTGGTGGTAGTTATTCCCCACGATGAGACTGGCAATCAGCTCCACGGTGGGATCTACCACAAGCAGCTGAGTAGCTGCTTTTGGGATGTGGTTTGCTTCCTGTATATAAGCAGCAGCTTTGGGAATGGTAGCTAGCTTATGGCATGCTTGGACACTGCATGTAGCTGTGTCATTGTTCGGCAGTCTGCCATGCTTTGCTGACCTTGGGACTTACAGTGGACTTAAATTAATGGCTTGCTGTGTGGTTTGGTAACGTCAGGACGGTGCCTTTTTACCTGTCAACCTTGGGTTGTTAGCCTCAGCAGCTAACAGCTGTCTGAGTGAAGAAATACCTCTAGCTCCAGTGGGCCAGGAGCAGGAGGCAGAGCTGGACTGCAAGGTTGAGGGGCTTTCACCCAGCCCCCAGAGCCTGGCACTTTGAACTTGGACTTAAAGCCTCCAAACTAAGAGTATAAACTCTTGTTTTTTAAGGCCATCCTATTTGTGGTATATTCTTGTCAGAGCAGCACTAGGTAACCAGAACAGTTTCCTATGCTGTAACATTTGCAGAAGCAGACTACCACATCTTTCTCCCGTAGAGCAGCTGGTAGGTTTGAACCACTGACCTTTTGGTTAGTAGCCAAGCTCTTTAACAACTGCACCACCAGGACTTCCACTTAGCTAATGCCAAAAAATAAATCCACTGCCACCAAGTTGATTCTAATTCATAGCAACCCTATAGGACAGAGTAGAACTGCCCCATGGGGTTCCCAAGGTTCTAATCTTTACTGAAGCAGACTGCCTCATCTTTCTCCTACAGAGTGGCTGGTGGGTTCAAACCACTGACCTTTTGGTTAGCAGCCAAATCATTGTGCACTAGAGCTCTGATTTAGCTATTAGCAGGTCTAAACTTGAGATTCAAGCCAAAACAGAATTAACCTCTCTTTCTATCTCACACACATACATACAACACACAGATTTCATGGTGATAGACATTTATCAAATATTCAGTATTTGCCCTCTGTCAGAAGCACTTTGGGAGTTTCAGAATGAACACTTGTTGAGTCTGAATTAAAATGAGTTAGCTGAGAGTTACAGAAAATCTAGATTAGACCTTGATTATATTTTCTCTTGAGTTCTGCAAAGTAGGATTATGCCTACTTCACGGATGAAGAAAATGAGACTCAGAAAGTTAAATTATCTTATTGAGCCATACCTCTGTTAAATAGCCAAGCCTGGATTCAAATCCAATTCTGCTGACTTCCAGTAGATACCCAGGCCTCTTAAAAACAAAAGGAATCTTTTGAACCCGGCTTCTGCTTTTTTTTTTTTTTTTTACAATTACATCCTATACAATCACCAAATGAGACTGCCTCCAATCCAATTTACCATGATGGAAGAGAGATGGTAAGAAGAAATCTATGTCTAGAAAGGAGCTTTATTATTTCTCCCTAGAGATTCCTGACATTAGAGCATCATTCCTGGACCACACATCCCTTAAACTTTCCAGAGCTATTAGTTGTTGCCATTGTTCAGGAGGAGCAAAAATCCAGAAAGGATATGTGTTAGGTCTGAATTAAAAATACATTGGTTGAGATTTATAGGCAAACTGTACAGCCTGCCTAGATTCTGTTTCTTGAGTTTCTTTTATATCATTTATTACACATAATTTATTATCATAGCAAGAATGGTTTGAGAGGAATTGTTAAGATTAAAATGATACAACTGACCCTCTTCTTTTAAGATTTCTGGGTCACTGGCATACAGGTGAGCACACAGACCAGTTGTGCTAACGTTTCAAGCTTGTAGAATTAGTCCAACCCAATTGTCTTTTGGGAAATAAGCCAGTCTTCTTTGGGAAGGCTGAAGGGCCTCTCTCATGACAAGCTGAGATCACTGCATGGCAGATGGAGCCATTAACTGATCACTTGAGTCTGGCTTTTAGAGTCACTTTGAGCAGACGGATTGTTCTGAATGACTTCAGCAGAAATCAATTCAGACCATTGTTTTTAGCGTATGTGCAGGGCTATTGCCAGCTCCCTAGGACCATAAGGCTATATGCTGTTAACTTGGTTTGGGCTCTTCCCCAACTGGTAGAGGGAAAAGAATGGAAACATCACTAGGCGTGAGTGGAGTCAGTGCTGAAGTCAGAAAGCAAAGTCACAGCCTGTCCTCGTATACTTACTTAACTAATTTTCCCCCTTTTTTAGCAGGGTCATAAACCCAGACTTAAGCATTAAAATCACCCGCATGGAAGATCTGGTTAAAATGTTCATTCTCCAGAAGGGGAAGCCGAGTCTCAAAAAAGTTAAAATAACCTGTTATTAATTACATAGTAAAACTCAGAGATAGCACTTGAATTTAACCCCATTACCTTCTACTCTAGGTATATATGGGATTAGTATCTCTCCCTTTCTCTCCAATAGGTAAGTGGATCTTTGTATTTGGGCCATATGTGCCCAGTGGAGTCCCTGGGTGGCATCAAGTGCTAAGCACTCAACTTCTAGCCAAAATACGGGCAGTTTGAACTTACCCACAGACACCTTAGAAGTCAGGCCTGGGTAATCTGCTTCTCAAAGCTCACAGGCTTGAAAACACTATGAGGCAGTTAGTTCTACGCTGAACAGATGAGCTCTGGTGGCATAGTGCCAAAGGCATTTGACTGCTAACCAGAAGGCTGGCGGTTCAGACCCACCAGCCACTCCTCGGAAGGAAGATTGGGCAACCTGTTTCCACAGAGATACTGCCTCAGAAACCCAAGGAGAGGTTGATGTGAGTTGGAGATGACTCAATGGCACATAACAACAACAACAACAACAACAAAGCACAGATGTGGTGGCCATGAATTGGAATTGACTCAGTGGGAACTACTCATGACAACAAATGTGCCCAATAGCTAGATACTGCATTTGAACTTGGGCTTTCAAGTCAAATAGACCTAGATTAAATCTCACCTCTTTTACTAACAAGCCATATGAGTTTGATGAAGATGCTGAACTTTAATGTTGGAGTAAGGGTACACAGAGCTCAAGGACAGTATGATGATTCATCTCCTCTCTCCCTTTAAATTATTGCTGATTCATCTCCTCTCTCCCTTTAAATTATTGCCGCTAGAATTGGCAGAGGTTAGTATCTTTGAATAGATACTAAAGATACTAACCTCTGCCAATTCTAGCAGCAATAATTTAAAGGGAGAGAGGAGATGAATCATCATACTGTCCTTGAGCTCTGTGTCTTTGAAAGGAGCTCTGGTAGCATAGTGCCTAAGGCACTTGACTGCTCACCAGAAGGCTGGCGGTTCAAACCCACCATCCACTCCTCGGAAGGAAGGTTGGGCAATCCTACTTCCATAGTGATACTGCCTCGGAAACTCAAGGAGGGGTCGCTATGAGTCGGGGCTGACTCGACGGCAAACAACAACAACAACAGTATCTTTGAAAGGAGCCCTGGTGGTGCAGTGGTTAAATGCTTGGCTGCAATCCAAAATGTGCTTGGTTTGAACCTATCAGCTGCTCTGTACTGTCATAAAGATTTACAGGCTTGGAAACCCTATGAGACAGTTCTACTCTGTCCTATAGGGTCATTATGAGTTAGGAATGAACTCCACAGAAACGGGGTTAGTTTCTTTGGTTTAGTATCTTTGTGGTGTCCCCTGACACAGAGGGACATATATCCCTCTCTGCCCTCTAATTTTACCTTCAGTTTTCTTATCAGCAATATGTAGATAATAATATTTGCCTCATATAGTTACAGTTGGTCTGTGCTTTGCACACCAATTGTAGACACTGAATAAATGGCAACTATTATTATATCACATTGTCTATAAGGTCCCTTGGTGGTACAAATGGTTTGTGCTCACCCACTAACCTAAAGATTGGCAATTCAAGACTAATCAGTAGTATTAGGGAAGACAGGCCTGTTTATCTGCTTCCATAAAGATTTCAGCCCAGAAAACCCTATGGAACAATTCCACTCTGTAACATATGGGGTCACCATGAATTGGAATCAACTTGATATTAATATTATTTTGCCATATCTGACTATGAAGCCAGTTTTATAACTGAAAATGTCTAAAAATGATTGAATCCTTCAGTTTTCATCTAGATGCTGAACCATGGGAGGAGTAGTTGTCATCTAAGCAAAACAGCCCTTGTGTTCCAAAATGGGGAGCCAGCCCTTGAGATTCGAATTGTGCAAGGACCAGTTCAACACGTCACAAGTCTCTGGACAAGGTGAGAACAAGTCATGATTTGTCACAAAACTGACACACATTTCCTCTACCAGGCAGCACATATTATCTACAGGGGAGCAACATGAATTTTAATCAGTATGATTAGCAGAATTATGATGGTGAATCATTGAGTCTGTGTTTTGCTAGGGAGCAGAGAAACAATTCCAGATTTTGGATTTTATATTCAGAAAATACCCAGGGCTGGGCAGG